ATCCCCGCATCAGTTTGCCGTGGCGTGGCGAGCCGTGGCGCAGCCCCCGCCGCCCCTCCATATATATATAAGTATATATATGTGTATCATAGCAGTGAGGACCAAGCGCCCCGCGGGGCCCGGGCTCCCTCTCCCCTGGCTTGTCGTCGGTGTCGTGCGCGCCCGCCCGCCCGTCCCCTTGCTCTGTGTTGCCGCTCGTGGTTGGGGTCCGTCGCTGTCCTCGTTCCGTCTACCTCAGCACCTCTCTGAGCCCGGGCGCAGAAGGTGCCCAAGTTCCCCTTTGGTTTTCTCAGAGTATCTATCGGCTCCTATTTTTTGTACGACTTTCTCCCTCTCCCCTCGCCGTTCGCTCCCTTGCGGTTCTGCTTGCCAGTCCTCTCTGTCCTCTAGCCACAGATGCCGTTAGCTAAAAGTTTCCTGAAAAATAAAGAAAAAGAAAAAAAAAAATAAATAAAACCAGTTGTGGTGTCTCCTAGTTGCAGCTCTCCGCATCTGCCTTCGTCCTGTGTAGATTCAGATGCATTTCTTTGTAAGACTTCAGTGTTTCTGACAGAGGAAAAAAAAAAAAAAGAAAAAGACAAAAAAAAAAAGAAGAATATACTGCTGCAGGTTTTTTTCTCTCCATGTGTCACTAAGTGAAGTTCGTGCCTTCTATAGCAAAGAGAATATTTTTTACATCCTACTAACAGTAGATTTTTTTGTAGTGAACATTTTTTGTATTTTTATTTATAAGTCTCATAAGGAAAATAGCAATGTTCAGTTGTATACCTTGAATCTGCAGTTAGAAAACAAAAAACAACCAATAAAGTTAATTCCGTTGTCTCGGCCTGCCGTCTCCTGTTCCTGTGCCCGTGCCTGCCGGGAGGAGGAGGAGGAGGAGGAGGAAGGATGCATCCCACTGGCTCGGCGCGAGCCAACCACAGGGGGACCCACGGCGGTGAGTTTGGGGGCGCCCACTCGGCTCCCCCAGGGCCAGGGGGGGGGGGGGCCCATCCCTAACCCAGCCTCGATGGGTGGCGGTGCCCCTGGGATGCCAACGACCCCGCAGACGGGGAGCAAACCCGCATCCCCCGTCCCACAGCGCGCTGCCTGCACCGCTGCCTGCGCGGCTGCCTGCCTGCCTGCCTGCGCGGCTCACCAGGGAGCTGAGCAAGTTTGCCTCAATGAAAGTGAACTCGTTCATTTAAACCTGACTGCAGAGTAGTCTGGCCCCCCGCTGCGTTAATTATCCTGTAGTTCTCGACTGATTGCTGTACACTAAGCTTAAGCCCTCCTTTATTTATTTACAGACTTCATTAACAGCAGCGCCTGCACTCCTTTTGTGCTGCGGCAAACTGTACGGCGCGCCGCGGCGGGGCCAGGCGGGTGCTGTTTTTGCACTTCAGAGCTGCCGAGAATGAAAAAAGGTGTTTTTCAGTTTTGAGGCCTTTTGAAAGAAGCCCTGAGGCTTCCCGGTGGGTTTGGGGGCTGCAAACCCACCCCGAGGTCACCGTCCCCGCCCCGACAACAGGTCCTCCATGAGGACGTGCGGCAAGTAGAGGAGAACTTTGGTCCTGGCCCAGGCAAGCAGCGGTGGTCCTGCTGCGAGCAACCTGCCGGCTGCAGCATCCCCGGCAGAAGGGGGGTGAAGCCCCTCTCCGGCGTTCGGCCCGGTACAAAGGCGTTATTATCACAACGGGGAAATTGTCGTAGGACCGGGCCTTTGTCTGCGCACTCACGCAGCAGCTGGGAGCGATTATGCCGCAACAATGTTCTGTTCCATCAACATTATGTCCTCATTAAACCTTTATTAGTAGATTAGATTCAGATTTATTGATTTTTTTTTTTTTTTTTTTTTAAAGAGGAAAATCCAGGCTCCTCTCGGACAGATGCCTGGAACTTTTTCCTGTGTGCAGCGTTTCCCAAAGCAGAGAGAGGGCAAAGGGAGAACCTGGATCCTTCCTCCAGCATGGGCAGCTGCTTCTTACAGGGGTAAAGGACCACTGAGCTGTGCGAGGGGGTTAGGTCGAGTGCGGGACAGGTTCCTAGCACAGGTGAGGATGGAGGACCACGTGGCCACCGCCATGGTCCATGGGATGTGGCGGCTCAGGTGAGCATCTCACAGTGGGTCCCGAGGGCGTCCAGGGTGCCAGTGGGCGGGAGAAGGGATGGCGAGGCTGGCTCGGGGGTCCTGCCGCCCCCTCGAGCGCGCGGGCTGGGCAGCATCTTGCAGCCGGGTCAATGGGCCCATTGGATTTGTCTGTCGGAGCGTTTGATGTTACACGAAGGCGGCTCATTCCAGAGGGTGTTAATTGCCCGCTGCAGTGATCAGGTCTGTAGCACCATCGATCTCGGCAGGATCAATGGGCTGATTTAGTGTCTTGCGAACTCTTTAACTGGACACCTCATCAATAGGCAGCCACTTACAGACCATCAGCGCATTAGCGCAGGCCGGTGCTGGCAGGAGCCCCCTCCACCCGTCCTCAGCCCCCCTGTCACTCAGCGGGGAGTTTTCCTGTGGGTGACGGCTCCGGGACAGGGAGCGGGGCCCTTGGCCCAGGGCCGGTCTGCTTGGGGGTGGATGTAGGAGAGCTGGACTATGAGCACCCACCTCTCCCCCACCGCCCGCAGCCCGACCGGCTGCAGCGATGCTCCTAGAGCACGGGATGGGCCCTCCTGTCACCTCTGGCGCTTTTGAGGATGGTGCCCGTGCTGGTTGCTCAGGTATGTTACTGGTGTGAAGGGTGGGCTGTGCCTTTACAGGGTCTTGGGCAAGCATGGCAGGGCCGGGCACCACCCCAAAAACACCGTTGGTGTTTGTTGTCACGACCCCCTGACACCACCAGCTCTGAAAGGAGCGTGGGTACCACGTTGGGCAGCTCTGCCCCTTGCAGTTTGGGCTCCACTGCCTGCTCTGGGCTGCAGCCAGCGGTCCTTTCCACCTCTGTCCGGGGGCAGCCTCGTGCCTCTCCCTTGGGGGGTTGAGGGGGGGGAGGCAGCGGGGGCAATGAGAAAGCTGCCAATCACAAGACAATGCCACAGGTACCTCCATGTGCATGGACCAAGGCTTCCAGCATCTCCAAGACTCGTCAAACAGCCAAAGAGCTTGTGGTTGGAGAAGAGGGGAGTGATACTGAAAAAATTGTTTAGGTTAGGCTGCAGGAAAAAGCCAGGTGAGGGTAATGGTCCGTTGTGATGTGCAATCAAAGCGAACAGGAACCGAGCACATTACCTCCAGGTTTAGATCACTTCAGCAAAGTCTGCACAATTTATTCTAAAGGGAGATTAAATTTCCATCTTTTTCTTTTGGATTACTGCCGAATTTGAACGTGTTTTGCAGAGTAAAAGTGAGTGTGAACCGTTATAAATGAACTTCCTTGATACTCAAGAGAAGACAGCAACAGGCAAAAAATGAACAACACACACATGGTTGGTAAGTGCTTAAAGTCACACTACGGCACATCAACTGCAAAGTGCTCAATTGGGTACCTTATTTCAACATTTGATGAGTAAATTGTAATAGTTCCATAAAACCAAGCCATGTTAAACCAATATGTAAACATTTCTAAACAAGGATGATTTGTTTAGATCCTCTAGACCTTCTCTGGCTAGTCTGAATCTGGCTGCAACGTGGGATCACTTTGTGACAGGCAGCCCATTGCGGTAGTAAGCTGTTGTTATATTGATATTATTGGATGAAAAAACAGGACTCATAATTTATGTCCTGCCCGCCGTCTCGCAGTCCCGGGGGTCCTCACAGCTGTAGTGGTTCAGCCTGGCTGCGCGACCAAGAGAGGCAAGCGTGAAAAACCTCTTTGGACGGGGAGCTGGGATTTCTGCAGGTGACCCAGGCAGCCGGATCACCGTGCAAACTGGGGCTACATCGACATAGACGGCTACGTGGGGCCCAGCCCACTTCAGCTCCCGTGGGACCTCCCTCTGCAGCCCATACCTGTGCTGTCGTTGCTCTCCGCCTGCCTGGAGATGTCCGAGCTCTGCGTCCTGCTTTGGCTGAACTTCTTCCTGTCCCGGATGCAGAGCAGGACGGTGGCTCGTTCCAGCAGCAGCCGCTTCACCCACTCGGGGACGTGGGGCTGCAGGTCTTGCTTGTGCACCAGGCGCACGATCAGGATGGTCTCCGTCAAGCTGATGACGAGCAGTGCCATACACACCACAAAGTAGATGCCTGCGGAGATGTCAGCCAGGTGAGCAGCCTGCAAAGGCTCACGCACAGAGCATGGTCCCGAGCCAGTCCTCCCTGCCCGCCTCTCTAGGGCACCCGTGGTCTCTATGGAGCAGCAGCTCCTGCTGCTCCGGGCCCAGCACCGCTGTAGCAGTCAGCGAGGCAGGTGGTGCTGCTGTACCTATCAAGGGGGTGCCAACCGCAGTAGCCGGCAGCGTGTCAGATACGATGATGAGGAAAACCGAGTAGCCCAGCAGGAGGGTGATCTTGAAAGAGACCCTCTCGCCACTATTGGGAGGGAGGTAGAAGCCCACAATGTCCATAAGCATCAGGAAGATGCTGGGGAGCAGGAGGCTGACGGTGTAGAAGAGGGGACGTCTCCGGATGACTACCTGAGGGACAGAGAGACAGGAAAGGCTCAGCGAAGGGTAGAAACCAGGGCTTGAGCTAGTGCGGCTCTCCACCAAGGCAGGCGAGGGTGGTGGGACGCCCTACGGTGAGCCAGAGGAGAAGGGCTCCGCACTGGGAGCCTCCTGCCCGCAGGCAGGAGCACCGCGGCAGGGAGCAGCAGCAGTGATCAAGGAACAGGAGCCGGGGCAAGACCCTTCCCCAGCGCCCCATTCCTGAACAGCTCGGTGGCCAAAGAACCTTACGTAGAACTTCATCTCGGCGTAGCTGTCGCTGCTCTTGACGCTGAACTCCTGGAAGCTGCTGAGGACGTAGAGCAGCTCCCACCAGCCCTGGTTCATGAAGACGCTCCGGTCGAACTTGACCAGCTCCGG